TCACCGGGCCGAAGGGTGACATGCATGCCCGTGACTAATTCTCGAGTTCCCCCGACCTCTTAACCTTAACCGAAACTTGATGCTGAAGCCAAAGAGCAGTGTGCATAGCTGTTTGGGAGACCCAGGGGGAGCAACATGGAACTCCTTTTAGCAAATTTTTATGGGAAACCGATTTCTTCTTGCTCATATGAGAAGTTTTTTTTACGGAAGTTTTGCAGACAAGCTCGTGCCTTTCCTCGGTTCTGATCGTAGTCATACTTGTAGCGCTTCCCTGTTGTTTTTCTCCGGCCAGCCACAAAAATCCATCTGTTCCGTTTTGAACTTTTTATTGGACATTGGCGGTTAGTCTGGTTATTGTTGAATGTTGAAATGCTGTGATTTTGCAGGTCGGATGATGAAGCAGTAGCAAACGAAGAAGGCGAAGAAAGGCAGTTTGGGGCCGATGAGGACGAGGAATCACCCAGCACGTACAGTAAATCCAAGCGCGGCGCATTCAACATGCTGGCTGCCGTATGTTTATGTGTTTACATGTACGCTGTCCTGTATATGCGTTGTGTACTTGCTGCGCAGCTTCCCTCTTTTTTCCCGATTTCTCTAAAACGCTTAATAATTTGAAATTTCTTGCTTCATTTTACTCCTCTGTACTATCCCTGTTCCTCTTTTGTCCATGCTTGATTGGTGCATTAAAAAGCTCCATCCAACTGTACGCTTAATCGTAGCCTGCGCTCTTTCCAGCTTGCATCGGACGATGAAGAAAGTGAGAAGGAGGCATCAGATAACGAAGAGGCGCCGAAGAAGGAAGAGCCGAGTAAGCCAAACGAGGCGACTGCAAAAGCTCCAAAAGGAAAAGGAAAGAAGGGCAAAAAGGTTTTTTTTTAAAAGTCATTGTTCGCTAAATCCTTTGGACAGTATTCGCGTATAACGATTTTTTCAGGCCACGAAGGAAGATAATGAATTGGAGGCTTTGCTTGCGGAGATCGAGAAACCAGTCGAGAAAGTTGCGAAAGGAAAAAAGAAGGGAGGCGCAGCTAGCAATCTGCAACCTTCTGCCACTGAGAAAAGCGCAGCTAGCAATCTACACCCTTCTGCCATTGAAAAAAGCGCAACTAGCAATCTGCAGGCTTCTGCCGCCGAAAAAACTGAAGGTTTATTTTTCACTTACATCACTTGAATTGAAATACTTTTTTCCCACTTTTCCGCAAATAAGCCTTTTTTTCGAAATTCTATCTTAAAAATCCACTTCGACTAGGAAATGAATATGAGCTACAGCTCCAGCTAGATGCACAACAACGAGTCGTCAGATGGCACATTATTTCACGCAACATCAGATCAATGGAATTTATTTGTTTTTTTCGAAACCACTACTTTGACAGCAGTGAAGTACGGGTGCAAAGTGACAGCAGATTAAGATTAATGGAAAAAGGACGCTGATTTTGACGAAAGCCCTGTAGTGAAGTATGCATATAGAAGATACTGCAGTAACTTGAGAAAGTGAAGTCCGATGAGGGGGGCGCAGTAATTGGTTTGCTAACGAATTAACGTCAATTAGTGAACGATGCGACGACGAAATTAAAACCTCTTGGGAGCATCCGGAGAGATAGTGTATCGAACAGGCGGTGGCTACTGATAGGAGCATGCAGATCCGCACTAAAAGGCTCGACTGTAGGTGTATCTCAGTAGTACCATTAACAGTGGCACCAGTAATTTGGCTACGTTGTGAAGAATGGATTTTATGCGAATTGTAATAGAGTAACTCTGTTAAATAATTCAGCTGAAAGCGAGGTAAAGCTCGATGAGACAGGCGATTCAGCACAGCCAGTTGCCGGAGACGCAGCAGCTAAAAAAAAGGATAAAAAGAAAAAGAAGAAAGCCGAAAAAGATAAAAAGCTGGAACTTGAATCCACCCCTGAAGGAGATTCTGTCGCCGCTTCAGGCGCGGAAAATCAGGAGGTGAGTTTTTTTTTACTTGGTTATCAGCTCGACAAGATTGTAGGTGCTGTCCTGGAAAAAAACTTGACAGTTGTGCGTAATATTGTTTTATATTAAGCAAAGTTCCGGACGAAAAGTTGATTTTTTTTAAGGGGGCAGAGAAGAAAGAGGAAGACTCTTCTGTCGACAAAAAAAAGAAAAAAGAAACACCGAAGGAAACAAGGAAAAAGAAACATGTATGTTTATTAACAGCACAGTACACTTCAACTTCACGTTTGGCTGCTTCCGAATCCCATTTACTCCTGCTTGAATCTTAGATGAATCCTTTCTCTCGGATACTCTTTAGTAAGCTCTTATCGTGTAACACCCGCTGGGAAGCAAAGATGAGGTAATATGTATGTAACTGTAGAAGTTGAGGGGCTGATACGTGTGGTGATGTACTACGTCATTAGATGTACTCATCAGGACAGTTGGATATTTCGGCAAAAACCTATTTTTCCATCTGTGATAAAGCTCCGCTAGAAGCAGCTTTTCCATCAGCGACAGGACTTCGCTAACGGCATTTATGTAGTAATTGTAAATCGGAAGTTTCTTTGGGCCAAAGAAGAACTGGACATACAATAGATTTATCCAGCCAAGAGTGTTCGTCATTATCTGAAAATAGTATCGAACCTACCGTGATGTTTGAGC